TTTTTATAGTACTCTCTAGAAAGAGCCGAAAGTAGTACATATATAGGATCGGTATCTCTTGCTACACAGTAACAACAAAGGAAAGATATAAACATCGATAAGGTTTGCACAAAGTGTTATCATTTTCTATCATAATATATGTATATTTAAACAAGCAAACCTGGGTCACCGATAAAATTAATTATTTATTAATTTATAAAAGTGTATAAACTCATGGTACATTTCGACTTAACTTACAAGGAGAGGCTATGCTTTGCTCTTCACCGATTTTGATCAAAATTGCAGCTCTTCTTCAATGGATAAATTGCAAATTATAAGCGCATTATGTTAACACAATGACGGTTACTATAGATTATAGTTTTTTTCCGCACAGTAACCGTCATTGTTAAGATCATGCGCTTATAATTTGCAATTCATTCACGGCTGAAGAAAACTAAGTTAAATCGAAACGCCCACCGTGAGTCTATATACTTTTATAAATTAATGTATAATTAATTTCATTAGTCATCTAGGTTTGCTGGTTTTTAACATTTGACCTCCATTATTCTTTTTGTTTTTGCTTTGCACACATACGAGCAATAAAGAAATTTATATTTTATACTAATAATATATCCTCATTTTTACGTTTAAATGAAAATATTGCCGTTTTCTACCGTTTTTTTATTCATTTTTTGGTGAAAACGAATTCACAATCGTATATATGTACAAAAAGATTAAAAAAAGGCGCCAAATGTACGCACTTGTATTGAAGAAAAAAATTACATTCTATTGGATTTTATTTTTATTTAATTAAAAAATAAAATTATTACCATTTTGGTTTTATTAGCTAAAAGAAATGAAAAGTTTCTGGGGACTACACACGTAGTATATAAATTCACATAAGAATTATACAAGCATTAAGGGGATGCTAAACCGATTACCCAACTCAATCAAGGTCGATAGTACAGACTCTTTTAATTCCAAATTCAATAATAGTGGTGACATCTTTGATTTAGTTTTTACATTATATTATATAATATATATCATTCTGTCTTACTCAAACGCATACGTCTGTTCTTAT